GTGACACCGCTCCCGTGCCGCTGCCACCGCGCAGGGGGCGGCAGCCCCGCCGTGCCCGGCCCGCGGCCGCGCTCTGCCCGTTCCTCCCCTCCCAACACCGAACCTCTCGCTCTGAGCATCACTCCCTGCCCGCAAGCGCCGGCAGCGCTGCCCTGGCGCTGCCAGGAAGCGAGACCTGAGTGTTCTGAAGCGTTGCTGGAGTTAGGTTTTTTCCAAACGATGTGTAATCGAAGCTGACACTTTCCGAATCACCTGAGTGCCTGGAAACACTGTTTGTTCTCCCTTGGGAACGTCCCTGCTCACTGGCAGGGCTCTTCCTTTGCTTTTTAGCCCGTTTTCCCCGTGCTGCAGTCACCCTGAACCACCCCTGGTTCTGCCACCACCACATTCATGGTTTTGGGGCACCAGCTCTGGCTGGCTGGTGCAGGAGGGTCGGGGGGTGGCTGGCTGGGGATGCACTGCCACCAGCTCAGCCTCTGGTGCCACATCTCCCCCACCTCATGGCACCTCGGGGGGGACTTTCCCCTGAGTCCTTCTGAGCTTCTGATCAGCTCTTCTGCACCTCCACAGCCCTGTCCAACACGCCCAGCTTCCCGCAGCATCCAGCACCGGCGGTGCCTTACCCGGGGTGTGCGGGCTGAGAGCCCCGTGTGCTGCCCTCCTCTTTTGTCCCTCCCATGTGTCACCCGGCGGTGGTGGGATCCAGATCCCGAACAAAAGGAGTGTATTGATGCCTTCTTTTCCCGAGGTTTTTCAGGAGGTGTGCTGTGCCCGTGACATGGCTGGGTGCAGGGTCTGCTGCCCTGTTACCCTGGGCACTGGCCCAGTCTGGTTCTCACCCTGATGTCGGGCGGTGTTTTATGATTCACGATTTCAATTTGCACTCGTTTCCAGATTTCTAAATTAACCTGCCCTCTCCTCCTCCCAGAGCCAGCGTGGGTGATCTCCCTGCGCTGCCTCCCCTGTGCCTCCTGGGCATTAATCAGCAGCTCTCCCTCACCCCCTGCGCCTGACTCTGCTTCCCCTCACAATCCCCAGCACCTCTGAATGTGAGAATTGGAAAACCAGCTCGAGGGGCCGAGATCTGCTCCTGATGGCTGCTGTGCTCGTTACTGAGCACTCAGCATCCCCGTGGGTTCCCCTGAGCCAGTGCTGCGGCTGGGCTGACAGCGGGGATCGATCTTTGGCCATTCCTGAGCTCCCTAGACAAAAAATCTCTGCCCTGCCATGGACCCTGTGTCCTGTAAAGCCCCACACCATCCCTCCCTGGCACGGGTGAGCCTGTGGGATGCACAGCTCCAGCGAACAGCCGCCCCAGCAGCAGACGGGCAGAGATGGCACAGCGTGGCCACCGAGGGCACGAGGGTTTGTTCTGCCCTGGTGAGTCCTGCTGCCCACGGATCTCCTGCTGCTGCATCCCTGCCTGGCATGGAGTGGCACCGTGGGGGCACAGCTCGGGCTCTGATGACTGTGTCCCGCTGCCAGGACACGGCGTGGACAGCGAGCGAGTGGTGGTCACTGCTGGTGGCCAGCGCAGGCTGGGTTTAGCTCAGGCCACAGTGAGAGGCTGAGGACAAATTGTGCCAGTGCCAAGAGGGCTTTTGCTGGGGTTGCAGGTGGCAGGGACAACCCGTGCAGCCCTGCTGTGCCCTGGGGCAGCTCAGTTCTGCTGAGCCTCCCCAGCTGCCCTGCTCTGCCTCCCCCAGGGTGCCCAGGGCTCACGGGGCTGCTGCAGATGCATGAGGGGGACTCTGGCTCAGCCTCCTGGCGGTTTTCTGGCAAATTCTGTCCCAAAACACAGCACTCCCTGGGACCACAGGTTTTCCATTGGGCTCAAAAGCCTCCCTTGTTTGCTGCCCGCTCCGAGGAACAGGCTGGGTGGGTGCCCAGCTTTTGGAGCCCTGGTACCACCCTGGGATGGTGAGGTACACACCTTGTGAGGTGTGTTGGTCACGGTGAGCAAAGCTGGAAGGTGTTCAGGTCCCCAAAATGTGGTGGCAGCAGACCCTTTCCAGCACACAGAGGCAGGAGGCTGTTGCAGCTCTTCCCAAATCATGACCTGCACCTCCAGTCTCTCCCGTGCCTTTTCAACCCCCCACCACCACTTTCCATGCCCCTGGTCCCCACTTCTTACGGTGTCCATGGCTGTTGTGTGCCCAGCCTGCAACGAGCTGCCCCGGGTTTCGGGGAGAGCTGCTCTGCCCTAGCAGGGAGAGCAAGTGAACACTTGTATTTCCTCCCACTTCCCAGAAAGGGATGAGGAAACCTCCCCGCGCCCCCAGTGCAGGCAGCACTGCCTGCGGGCAGGGGCAGCGCTGCCAGAGCTGGGACACGGCCCCAGCCCAGTCCCACGCCAGGAAGGGCACATGGCAGGAGCGCTGGCAGAGCCTGGGGGCGATGCCCCGGCTCTGGAGCTGTGGGGCGGGGGTCAGAGCCTGTGCCCGGTGGGCCAGCTCCATGTCCCGGCTCATCAGCGTCTCTGACACGGCGCCTTTGTTCTGCCCGGTCCCTCCTCCCGGCCATGTGCTGAGTTAGGGGTTTCAGTAATGATCCCCTGGGCTCTGTCTCTATCTGGAGGCTATAAAAACCCAGCCGGAGGCTGCTGGACATGTCACCTCCCTGGGCACCAGTGCCTCACCCCAGGTAAGCGCTGCAGCCCCGTGCCCATGGCTGGGAGCGAGCAGCTGCGGGAAGAGCTGGAGGAGCATCCAAGATGCGGGGTTAGACCCCTCCTCGGCACCGGGAGCTGTGGTGGGGGCTGGGAGTGGGGAGTTGGGGGCTGTGTGTGGCTGTGGCAGTGGCAGGGTGTTGATGCTCAGTGCGGGCACGCAGCCATCGCCGCAGCGCTCCCGGCTCAGCGCTGCCCTGCCTGCACCGCCTGCCAGCACCGGGGCTTTGGCTCAGGGAGCTGCCAGTGGGAGGAGGAGTTTCCCTGGGCACGGGCAGGGATGTCTGCCAGGGCCAGGTGCCCAGTGGGCCAGGTGCCCGCTGCTCCACATGGCCCTGGTGGCAGCTCCAGCTGGGCAGGGAGAGCCACAGAGCTCTTCATCCGCTCCAGCATGGAGCAACCACTTGTTGTTGTTCCCCACACTGCCGCTGAAGGGATGTGCGTGGGCTCCTGAGGTCATTTTCATCCGGGCAGAGGGAGCTTTAACCGTCTCCTTCCCCTGTGCTCTGGCAGAGGCACCATGACCCACCGCTGCAAGAAATCCTCCGGTCTCTGGAAGGTACGGGAGCCTGGGCAGGACCAGCACCGTGCCCTGAGAACACCCGGGAATGGGGCTGCAGTATCTGCCCGGGGCCTTGGCACCGCCAGAGCCCCCTGACTCCCTCCATTCCCCCCAGATCGTGGTGTGGGACGAGCCTTTCTTCCAGGGCAAGAAGCACGAGTTCACCACCGACTGCTACAGCACCCCGGAGCACGGCTTCAGCACCGTCCGCTCCTGCAAGATCGAGAGCGGGGCGTGAGTGGGGGTCCCGGGGCACTGCCCCCCCGCCGTGCTGCGGGACCCCACGGATAGCAGGGGGGTTGGAGGATGGAGGCCTCCAGTGCCTTTTGCTGCCTCCCCTGGGCACCGCTGGGTGCAGCGGGCACAGCCCGGCCGTGAGCGGGGCGGTGGGCACCCCGGGGGTCTCACCCCTCCCGCCCCGGCAGGTGGGCAGGCTTCGAGCACTGCGGCTTCCAGGGGCAGCAGTTCGTGCTGGAGCGAGGCGAGTACCCGTGCTGGGAGGCGTGGAGCG